TAACATTAGCATTCAGCCCTGTAAATATGATTCTTTTGAAGTGTTCTTCTGATTGGTCAGCTCTCTGGAAGCCTTCCTGAGGGGGGCAGAACGCTGCAGGGCTGCCAGGGAGGGCTGCTCTCCAGGTCTGGGTGAGTCTCTGTAAGAGGTTTCAGAGTCTTGAAACCGTCTGCTGAAAGTCTTGGTTTTTATATCGGGGAACTATGGCGTGATTTACAGAACGTGGCGTTTAGCGCCCTCTGCTGACTCATAATGGGATTACTCCAACACACGATTACCTGACCATGACCATGACCATCATCCTTTACATTGTTTATGTGTGTGTGGAGGGTTAGTGTGTGTGCGTTCAGATTAAACATCAGGAGAAACGGTCCTCATGTCTGTGTGAAGCTAGCGTTAGCATTAGCGTTAGCATTAGCGTTAGCATTAGCATCGGACCAGAATAGCCTCTGAGTGAATATTGTCAGGATGTCAGGAGGCCAAACTGTTCGCCGTGCTCAACCATTCCAACATCACGGCCCTGTGGGGGGCGTGTCTACGGGAGCCCGCCCGGGGCGGGGCCTCAACCGCGCCCTCGCTGGGAGACGCATCCCTCCGTGCACGCTGGTGGATCTGGCCGTGCATTGAACATTGTGTATTAATTCTTCAGGTAGAAACAGTCAGGGCATCACGTTAACACATGAACCAGAAAGCTGCTTCTATCCCATAATAAGACACAAAAAGGGGGATTTAAAAACAACACCAGCTTTGTAAATTTACTTCTTTATTTTGACATCTCATTGCAGGCCAGGAAAAAACATATCCATCCTTTATAATGTGCCCTTATTCTGTTACACACACACACACCAAAGAAAGTAAAGAAAGGTAAAAGAACAGTTTCTCTCCTCTGCGTCGTCACTAACCACACAGCCAATCTCTGCGCAGTGAGTCACAAAGAGGAAGTAAAGACTGGTGCCTTGAGAGGTGATGTGTACAATAAAAATCTAAATCTTATACAGAATTAAGACGTGTACCTTTAAGACAAAACTCAGAGTCGTGCCCCGTTTTCTAAATGATGACCTCATCATCGCCTGCTGTGCACGAGAGCACGGCGTCAGCCGACGACATGCACACCGTGGACTGTATATCAAGACGGACGGAGTAGCAGCCGCCTGGGAGTGAGGCCAAAATGTAAAAGAACTCCCCCTGCTGGCTGTCTGCAGTATAGATCATAAACCCTGCCTCCTCCATGTTAACAGATGGGGCATAGCTCTCGCTGTTAAATCAAACATCAAATATATTTTTCTCTGACTCGGATTCTGTCGGGATAGTCGATGGTGCACCGGATTATCAGAGTAAGAGGAGTAAAGGCGAAGAAAACGAAACGGACACTCACAACGCGGTCTTTGAACTTTCCATGAATATGAGCGTCTGCCTCAAAGCGAGGGAGCTTTGGCGCCGTCTCACCTCCTGTGTTTTTTTGTGGAAAGCTCCCATCTGCGCATTTATTGGTTCCAATTCCACCAGCAGCGTGATCTTTCGCCGCTTCACTTTTGTACAACAGAGACCCACCGTCCATATGAATATACAGTCAATGGCACAAATAAACCTGAGCCGACATTCAGCTCGAAACACAAATAAAAATCAAGAAAAAGGAAAAAAAACACAAAAAGCCCCTGAAGGCGAGAGATAAGACAAAGAATTCTTTGACATCACAAATACCTGCAGAGGCTGAAAAGATTTCCCGTCGCAGGATTTCAAAAAGGAGAAAGGGGAAAGATTACAAATGAACCTCCCAACAAAATAAAAGAATCAAAACCTCACACGTCCACCGGCACTGGCTCAGACGAAGCGACTGAAGAGAGATGAGGTGTGAGGGTGGTGTTGACATGCTCCCCCCCCGCCCCGCCCCCGCCTATCCCCCAGGACTCCTATACTGCGTCCATGTAAACATACACTGAAAATTATGTACAAAAAGGTTTGGGCTTGTGTCGCCTCTGAGTGGGCCTCCGTCTTGTGCAGCAGTGGACCCATCGCTCTACTCCGAATGTGTGTGTGTGTGTTTGTGTGTTCACATGTAAGAGAGATAGAGACGGGGGGGGGGGGGAGCAGGTGAGGTCCAGGGCCTGGAGACGTTTGACGACACTGCTCACCACAAAGGAAGAACACTGAGGAAGAGGAGGAGGAAGAGTGCGCAGGAGGACGACCACAGGGACTGGAGGTTGATGCCCCCTTGTGGATATACAGTGTAACTGTCACTTCTATTTTTGTGTACTTTTTGTTTTTAATAATTGTTTTAAACGTACGTTGCCTCCCACCTCTTTGGTAATCTCTTGGGTGATTATTTAAAATTAGCCAAAAGTTGACCGGTTACACACTCTTTATGCAAATGATGTAACAAACATATTTTTCCTGCTTCTTTTGGGAGTTTCAAATAATTTTCCCTCAATTAAAAACAAAGCACCAGTCGTGTGATAAACAGCATTCAATATCAACATCAGGCTACTTTATAGGATCAAAC